GTAAAAAATTAAAGGGTTTTGCATTTTTGCCGAGTATACGGGACGATAAAATTAATGAAAGACGAAATAATATATTATGTTTTCCTGTCGATCCCAAAAAAATACGACTGGAATCTTGACTTCGTAAATTGCAATATAATATATTATTACGTACCTACTAAATTATCTAATAAACTATTTCCCGATCGGTTAAATTCAATGAAAAAAAAAAAAAAAAAACAACCATCGCTTGTTCGGGGAATAAAAAAAAAATTACATTTTTTTTTTTTTAGTTTTTGTTTGATGATTAAATTGACGCATAAAAAAAAACAAATTGGCTAACAACGTGTTTCGAACGTATGTACACGCGCACCTGCGTTATTACTTTTACTTTTTATCGAGTACGTATGTATAGTGTAGTTACTGTACGTGCACAAAATGTAAAATCGCCCGCGTCTGACCGGACGAAACTCAGATGCAGGTGTTGTCCGTTCTGGACGTTTAACAATAGCATTTGATTGTAACACGCAACGGTGTACTAACTTACCTAGGTTAAGGGCTAGGGGTCAGGACTCCCGTCCCCCACTGGCTTAATAATAATACAACAACTGAGAATATTCATTTGTTAATTTGATCTCCGTATTATGCATTGCAGCCGAATTTCGAGGAATAGCACGATTTGTTGAACGAGTGTTATTTGATTTTTGGGTTCGGCTTTTCAATTCCCGTTGTCGGGAAAGCGACAGGTTTAGCAAACGATTCGGACGGTTCACTAACGATTACACTTTTACCGCCTATACATTCCCTCGCGTCGAAAATTCCCGGGCACGCCACTGATGACGCGATATAAGTGTATATTTCAACATAATATCATTATTATCGTGCAGGTATTAGGACGTACACTATAGCGGATTCGAGTAAATCGCATATATTATTGTATTATAGAGTCGTCACAAAACGGTGTGCATATATTAGGTAAATTGTTATTATTTTCAAAACATAATCCCTCTCGTGCGAGACTCGTGAAAAGTCAGAACTATTGACGTATTATTGCGTTTTCGTTACATTATACGAGCGTATCGAAAACACTATCAGAAGTTTTTGAAGTTTATATCGATATATTTAAATACGTGTTCCCGCCTCCCGTTATCTTACGGCAATTACAACGTTGTTGTGCGGACGATGACAATGAACGTACGACTTGTTAGTGATTTATTTCTCAACGTTATTATATTGAATTAGTCGTGTTTTTTTTTTTTTTTTTTTTTTTATACTAAAATATCTCGTTATTGGCCGCGTCTCTGAAACCGAATTGCATTTAACAAAATACAATATAAAGCTAAAACTAATCGTGGCCGCGTCGTCGTCGGTCCGTTACAATATTATTAATACCATTATCGCGGCGAGTCACGGTCACAATAACACTTCAATTTACAGCGCGTGCATTATAGGCAGTATACGCGGTTGACCGTTTATTTTCGCGATATTTTTCAATATGTATAAAACGAATATTATAATTATTTATATCGGTTGTTTGCTCGTTTTGCGCGTTGAACGTTCAGAAATCCGGTAGACGACGCGCCAAAAACGATAAACCGCCGCGGTGCACGTCACACGTAATAATATTATAGACACGCGCAAAATCTCGAGATCGAAAATTCGTATCGCTTATTTGTATTGCGCGTTAGCTCCAATAATATGACAACCTCGTAGAAAAAAAAAAACGCCGTCAATTTAATTGAACGATAGGCGAAAAAAAAATGCACGCGAATTTTGTCCCGTTAAAAAACAATAAGAAAAAAACATTTATTACGTCACGTAAACGATTGTACATCCATTTTCTTAGATAGGTTTAAATTTAAATTGTGTCTGTCTGTCTGTTTGTTGTTCCCTATGAACAGTTTCATATCAATCTCGACGAAACTTTGCACACTTATAGACATTAGTGACGTGGTTAATTCAAAATGGCTTAGAGCGTAGGTGAACCACCCACCTCAATTCACTCAACAGTAAAAAAAAAAAAAAAAAAAGCTCAACCATTAAATTTTTTAATTACCATAGGCGCAAATACGTTAAGGTACATTCTCTTTTCAAATCCATTCTAGAATAGCCGCCCACATAATTTTATCTTAAATTGTTTTCGATGCATTAGTTCCCTCAAGCTTTTGGCTCTATTTGCGCATGTGTTAAAGATCTATACAAATTTCTTTTCAAAAACCATACAGTTGGTATATATACGTAAAATATTATAACATATGTAACGTATATGTTACAGTATATATACTTAGTAAATCCATAGGTTATTTTTTGATTATCAAAACGGTATTTAAAATAAAAATGATTAACGAGAAAAATATTACGATTTTTTCACGATTTCGTTATTTTAAATAAGTACCTACCACGTTTTATAAAAACGACAAGAGACCATATTTTTGTTGAATTTTTTTTTAATGAACGTTTTGATAGCAAATTTAAACGAAAATCGCAAACAAAACTACGGCCTTTCAAATTATGTATTATCGAACTGCGCTCGGAATCGTCTCTCGTTAGCAATAGTTTATCCTTGCTTACAGATATAAATAAAATAACCTCACGTATGCTACCTTTCCAACTTCCCACCTACAATAGTGGCTGCACCCGTCCCCAGTATTTTTAATATTATTTTCTTGTTGTAATTAAGTTTAAAATATTCGTAGACTTGAAATTTAGACAGAAAACTCATATTTGCCTTTTCTTGACAGAGCAAAATGTTTAAAACATTTTAACTATTTTTGAATAGACAGTTAAATTTTGCGAGTTTTTTGCGTAATTTTTGTTCTGCAGGATAAAATTGTTTGACCAAACTAAAAATTGAAAATTTAAATGATGTCCATCGTCTATTATAAGTTATACATAGTTTATTTTTTTACAAGTTTAATGTAGTGTTTTTTTAATACGAATTTCAATATCAATGAATGTTGACGAATATCGTAAATATTACGGCCTTTTAAAACATATTGTACAACCGAACTCCGCTCAGAATCGTTTTTGTTAATAATTATTAATCGTTGCGTAAAGTATAGCTATATGCAACAATATTAATAAAATATTAATTAATTAAAGACACACACCTTCTAGTTATCCAAAAATCTCTGAGGCTATTGTCTCTCAAATAAGCTGTCTACTTTGTATTTTGAAATTCAACCCATAAAGAGTGGCTAACAAAAGGTTTTTTTTTTGATGATTTACTGGTTATCTTGGTGACACGGATGAAAAAAAATTGTTATTATTATTTAATTTGGTTGGCATAGACGAGGACATTTTTTGGAAACATGTTTTCCTCTCTTCCACCTCCATCCATCTAACTTTTTTTGTCTGGTAATTAATTTATAAGAGTACTTCCTTGTCAAAATTAACTGATTAATACATGTTTTTCCATCCATACATTGTAAATTGATAATAAATTATATAAATTAATCGAAAAAAATTAAATTTAAAATTACCAAAAATACCGAAAACTCAGACAATATTCGTCATTCCTTTTTGAAGTTGAATTTTAGAAATTCCACTGCAAGGTAAACATATGTACACACGTTCAGATATTCGCGTGTGAAATATTGACAACAAACAAACACAGTCACACAGACATTTACTTGGATATAAATAGAAGATATTAGGTACGTCAGTAGAATTAGTCACACATTCTCTCGTGAAATCGAGTAAACTATTCGAAGACTGCAAAACGGGAGGAGTCAGACGAAATACCCATTGGTTTTGTGACCCGTTTGTCAATATTTCACACGAATCATTAGTCCGTGATTTTAGCGATCAATAAAAATACAAAATTGTAATTTAAAGGCCGAGAGAAAACTCAATTCGCGTAGATATTCATATTTTACAACTTTACTGTCCAGTTATAACAGTCATCGCGGAAATTTTTCACTTTTTCGTTATAAACTTAATTAATTTTTAGGTATATAGTAAATGTATAGGTAGTAAGTACCTAATATTAAATATTGTTTGTTCGAATACGAATATTATAATTACTTATGAACTGAATTTATAATTGATAAAAACGTTACTGCAGTGATTGTCAAATTATTTTTGTCATGGGAAGATGTGAGGCTTGGGAATGTGCATAAGGGGAATAAATAGCCCCCTCCTAGGTCGAATTCTCCTGCGTTACTGCGTGTTCTCCTCCAAAGTCAAAATTTCATAAATAATAATATTAAGTAATCGATTTAAGCGGATATAAGTAATTTTCGCTATTTTTAACGAAAACGACTAATACAAGTCCCTTAATATTATTCCTCTTTTGCTTAGCATATAAAACTGAATGTTGATCTTCATATTTTACTGTTTTTCATATTACTATTATGACGTTGTGAAAGGGTATAATTTCCTCACGTACGTTAATGTTGTTTTAGTTGCCTATACCAATATACTATACGGCGTTCACAAACAAAACAATAACTGACAATAACCAAAAATGGATACCAAAATAAATATCATTCATTTGTGAATGAAATTAATGTTTAGGAGGTAAGCTAGAGATAGAGGAGCATATTATTATCGACTTTAGAAGCTAATATATGTCACAAAATATTATCTATATGTAGAAAATAATACATATCGAGAACCTTTTTGCATTTTTTGAGACCTCTCAGATTATTTTCCACCCAAATAGGTTCACAAAAATTTCCATTTCTCGGTTTAATGTATTGGAAACAACCATTAAAAGATCTTAGATCTAAGATTTACACTAAGACACACTCTTGCAATAGAACTTCATCAAAATCGATAAATAATTGGCGAATTTTTAAGACTATAACATACGAACGAACGGACATGACGAAGTTATGCTTAAATACTATAAAGTGGTTGTTTTTTTTTTTTTCGTTTTGATTTCGGAACCGTAAAAATGTCGGAAAACATCTTTCCTTATATAAAATGTATAGTGAGTCATTTTATGCATGTTTCTGTTTTTTCTTTTTTCAAAACGCGAGTACGAGATAAATAAACATTGCACGTCGACGGGACATTTTTGATACACGGTACACATTAAGTTTTATAGTAGGTAATCGAATTTGTAAACAGATGACGATGCTCGTTTGCCGTCCGCAATTTCATTGGTGAAATCTGTTCGTTTTGACGTAGGTATCTACAGAAATAATGGACCTGCCCAATATAATATACAAATACAAACAAGTTGATCAAATATTTATTAAGGACATGTCAATATTGATAAAATTAGCGTCAATCGCGGAACCGCTGCCTATAATATGTAAAATATTCCGTCGCGGTATTTTCGGTACTGAATATTATTAAAATTTATAGTATTTAACTACACTGAGAGTACCTACATTATAGAATTCCGCATCGTGTTAAAGACTAACGCCGTCCGCCGATGACATGTTCTTAAACTAAAAACGGATAACGATTGATTTTTTTTTTAGACTTTTAGATTTTTTCTTATCTACGTGGTTTCTGCAAGTTTCCAAAAAAATAAAGGGTCATATATTTTAAACGTATGATACTATTGAAAAGTTTTTTAAAGAATTAATTCGTTGTTCGATTTATATATACGCAATAAAAACATTTTTTTTTTTTTAATAGCCGACACTACTCATAGTGTCACAATATTCTGTGACACTATTGTAGGTGGTAAGTCGGTATGGTAGGATAAATAGAGTAATATTAGATGTATATCTGTTGTACGCAATGATAAATCTTTGCTAACGAAAAATGATTATGAGTGAAGTTCGGTTAAATATATTTTGAAATGTAGCGCTTTTTACGATTTCCATAAAATTACAATGTAGGTATAACTTTTAAATTTAAAAAAATCTACTTTACATTATGTTCAATTTACATAACAGAATTTTTCATCTCGAACATTTTATCGTTTTTTTCCAATCATTTTTTTTTATTATTATTATTATTACTTTAAACATTTCATAACAAAAAATTTGACAGTAACATATTATAATAAAATTATCCCCTTAAGCAAAGCTGGTGATAAAAAAATTATATGCATCATATATTTTCTTTAACATTGTACGTATTTTCCAATTTTCTTACGTTTTTCTTGATTTTTCCAGGTTTTTTCAGGTTATTTCTTGGGAAAGCTTCTATAAAAATCAAAAAAATGATCTCCCTTAAGTACCTCCCCAATCAGATTTCCTTTTAGAAAAAGCGCTATCATTGTAAATCGGAGCCAAATTGCTGGTAGAAAAGTTGTCTACAGAAAAAAAACAATAAAACATATCACTTAGTAAAACCATTATACATTTGCTCGTCAATATATTTGTATAACAGGTATATAACTAAATTATCCGGTATTTTTCGGGCTTAATCCGAACAAAAACAGAAGTCAATCAAAAGAAATACTATTCAACGCATCTCCTCGTTCCCGCCAATATCCCTATAAAAGTCAATCGATTGTTGCCCGGCAATTTATTTGTCGAAAAGGTTGTTCCCGCGTAAATAAAATTAAATAACAATAAGTGTTTCAATCATCCGCGCATCCCGTAAAAAAAAATCAATTTTCATTCCAAAAACACCAAAAATAACTGACTCGACTGTCACACTCGGGATACAAATTGGACTTCCTCGCGTCTTACTCTTGTTTTGCATGTCGAGCGCGCGACGTTTCACCGAGATCGGAATAAAACCGTAGATTCGCGTATCGGACAGACGGACGGGATATTTTCAAATTTCCCTTACAAAACGGATAAACGGGCCGGTATTACGCGTAGATTTGAATCATTTATACGAATTCGATGCGTTCGCGAACGCACGTAAGTGGGCATAACAATAACAATGTGTATATGATAAGAGTCCCGCAGTAAGTCGACATAACAACAATAATAATAATAATAATAAATATACACCGATATGGCGTTTATATTTGCGTTGAATTTATAATGTGTTCGGTGCATGGCGCGCGCGCGTGTGTATGTGTGTGCGTGTGCGCGCGTGTGTATGTGCGCGTGTATGTGTGCGTATGTCGGACGTCTTTATTTCACAGACGTCGCGGATGCAATCGCGCGCGTATTTTTTTCTCAATCAATCAGAAAAGAAAGAAGAACAAAAAAAAAAAACAAACAGGAACGTGTTGAAAATAAACGATCGTCTTCGTTTCTGCAACGCGCGTACATTATATAACAATAACAATATAATTTCAGTCGGTATCATCAGTCGATATAATTTTATACTCTCCGCGACCTCGGCGGAAAAATGTCGTCTGACACGTCTGTTCCGCGTCCGTTCTGTCGTCGCCGTCGTCGGTCTCGCGTCCCTGACGGCCGTCGCATTTTGATTCGGCCGTCAGCCTGCGCCGTTCGTCATCGCCGGGCCCCGGGAACTCGGGTACGACAAAACCAATACGGTTTTCTTCAGCCCGTTTTCATCGGTCGGCCGGCGGGAATAAAAACCTGCGCACGCCGCAGTTTGCGCAAAAACGCGTCTCGCGACCTTTGGGTTCTACGGCACGGCGACTGCAATTAATCCTGTTTGCGAATTCTGCGTCGTGTTTTCAACGAATATCCGCGACGAACCGAGAATCGCGACAGAATTTTACCGTTCGAGATTTATAAATACCGGCGGAATGGCTGACGATTAATGAAAATGCAAGAAATACGTAGGAACCGCGATGTTTTGTATTATTATGTGTTCGTTCGATCGAACAAGTTGTTGTGGGTATTTCGCAGTGGCGTAAAACGAGGTCCAGGGATACTGGAAAAAAGAAACGGACGCACGTATTCCGCGCCACGGATGGACGACTGTTGTAAGTGAGAAACTGGGAAGGTATAGGATATAGAGGGGAATTTGATTTAACTTCAATTTAAAATTAAAAATTGTAATTTAATTTAAGTTCAACGATTATTCACTGCCAACGAAAAACGATTGACCGAGTTCCACTCGGTCAACAGTATTGCTTTTTCAAAAATGTGCGTTTTCACGACAACAAAAATTGTTTAAAAAAAATATCAAAATATTAAAAACTTAATAATAACAAAACAATAAACAAAAACTGTTGTCAATGACAACATTATTTTTAAACTTTTAATCTTCTTTTCAACTTAAAGTTGTTTTTCCTTATAATCTCGAATAGTAATGAGAATTTCATAATATGACCTTTCAAAAGTACCGACTAGAATCGAAATGCAATAAAAAAAAGTCCGCTGTCATGTTTTGATTGAAGCAAGGTTTCTAAGACAAAAGTTGTTTACAGACAGAACAAATAAAAAAAAATACACATCATAGTAAAACCAATAGATCCCTCGCTTCACTCGGAATCTAAACAAATCAAATGATCCTTCAGCATAGTCAAGTAATAATTATTGAAATATTGTACATTATAATCGTGTTATCGTGTCGTGTAGTTTTCAATAAGCTGACGTTAAATATTATTGCACGATGAATGCAAGGTACCCGATGCATAACCTAACCAAACCTAACCTTGCTGGGTACCGAGGTATAGGTACCACCAGAAAGACTTTATAGCACGGAGACACGGGGATTATTTATGTATTACAGTTAATTTGTATAGTTAGGCAATTAGACAGTGGCGCCCAGACTATACATCGAGTGTAGCAGTTGCTACGTATTATATTTTGGGCGGGTAAGTGTTCCCGGTAATTGGAATTCGGTAGAGTATGGGTATAAAAATTCAATAGTTATACATTTTAGTTTATAAGTAGTAAAATTCGGATAAAAAAATGTTCGAGGACGGTAGTGGTTTTGAATTTAAAATACACCATACAAATATAGTTTGAGCGCCACTGCAATTAAACAATTGGAATTTACGTACATATATAAACATGTAATATTGAACGCTCTCCGAAAAAGGTCTAAATGTTATAAACTGTGAACCCCCTCTTCAGAAAAAGTTCAAAATACGCCACTGGCGTTTGCAATATCTATGAAATATAAAATTTAATAAATGTTTTATTTAAAAATCATTTTTATTTTTATATATTTAAATTTTTCATTGAAAATTTCCTAAATTTTCAAACTATTTTCTTTAACATTATACATTTCTAAAGTTATTATAATTTTATTATGTTGGCAAAAAACATACACAAATGTTTAAATTATATAATCTCGTATACATAACGCATACATTACAATAGCATTATATTATATTAATTATGTACTTTAAATACGAGTAGGTTTATTATACACTGTGTACTATATTTTATTGTCAATGTGTTTGAAGTAATAACAAAAGGTCCGGATTCGTTTGTCCCGACAAGACTGTTTAACAATACAAACAAAAACCGTTTTACACAAAAATATTTGTAATTTTTGTTAATAATAACGTTGAATGGATAAACACGAGACGTTTCGAACAAACAAAAAAAATATTTATTACAATTGCAGAACGAAACAATTTAATAAATAATATAATAATGATAACTTCGTAGCATTTTTCCTCCGAAAACTTGGTACAACGAGATATAACAGATCAAGTGTCCGGGCCCTGACGCAACGGTAAACCATTCAATTCGGTGTATTAATATCAACGATAATGACTAAAACTCACGGACTGTATTATTAATTGATAAATAACTATCATAAATATTTGTATTAAAAAAAAAAAAAAATGAAATATTTCAGACTTCAAACACATACATATCTTTACATGTTTTCCCCAAAGAATTTCCAATTTTTTATTTTTTATTTAAATCATCACTTTTAGTGCGTATGTAAATATCTGTCCCAATTATCACTTTATAGGCAGTGGTGCATACAGAGTGGGGATGGGGGGGGGGGTTAGGGGTCATAACCCACTCCGAAATGTATTCCTTCACTACATTCTTTTTAAATCAAGTTTTACATCCAACAACGTAATATCGAATACCACAGAATAAAATAAAATTTGATTTTGCCAAAAATAATTTATTCAGTAATAATAGGGATAGTACTGTACTGATAATATGCGCGCTATCCTCTCTTTAGGAAATTATTATAAAAAAAAATTCTGCATGAAATACTGTATATAGGTATTGCGAGTTCAGGACTCGCACTGAACAAAAACCGTAGACAGAACATAATATTGTATATGATACAATAGAAATATTGTCAACAAATATACGCACGGATAAAAATGTTGTACATATTTGGAAAATAGTGCACATCGTAATGTCGAATAGAATATTAAAAATATTACGCATACGTTAAATAATTAAGTTTTTCAAAAGGTTTTAAAGGGGTTTCTGTTTTTTCTCAGGGCTTTCTTATTACTTCTTAGCCCCATCCCCCGGATCCCGGCATGAAATAATATTAATACCGTGAAAATACATTATTTTTGTTTTTGTATCTACTTTACACTCGGAGTGATTCATTAAGCATACTCACCTTGTATTTATGTGGCGATACCATTTTTGGTTTTTCAAATGAGAACCTACGTACATGTTTTAATGCAAACTGTAAAGCAGATGATTTGACGTATTTTAATCGAAATTTGAATGAAAATATTTGAGTTATTCTACTTTAAAATACCAAGGATAACAGACTAAATAGTATAATTATTTGTGTGGTGGCACGGTGACTGGCGTTTTTATAGTGATCCGCTTCTTTACCCTACCCAAATTTAAAAGTGGAATATCTCATAAATGGCTTAATGGAAAACAAAAATATCAACATTTATTTAAACTAATACTCCATCTATTTATGGAATTTTTAATATAGGTTTTCATTTGAAAAACCGAAATTGGTCGCCACAGGATATTCCTTAAACACTATGAAAAATCCAATTGTACAAAAATATCAGCTTTGACTACACTTAAAAATTATATTAATCAAAATTTTAATATCTTCAAAATTCAACCATCAAATCGGGTAAGCATGCTTAATGAATCGCCTCGGATATAAATATTCAAATTAAATGTCTACTGTTTTTGACTTAGGTATCTTTATATTATATTATTATATTATTGTCCTATATAGGGACAAATATAGTTTAAGGTGGAACGTCGTATGCACTGTTTATAACGATCGGAATGGAGGTGAATAAATAGCGCCGATATGCACTGTACCGGGTGGGTAAGTGAAAAGTGAGAACACGTAAAACGTAGTCTCTGGATTTTTGTATTTTTGGTAAAGTTAAAACGCTACAGTACTATTATTTCCTTGTGATTTTAGCGTTATTATGCAGTGGATATACAGTTTAATCCGCGTACAGTGCGGGTATCTATGGTAACACGGATGCAAAAATGTATGATACACTAGAACACCAGTTGCACCAATTTAAGAATAAACCCGACTTAATTAAGCTTTGTTCATTGCTAAGTGTCCCTTAAATTATAGAGAACTTAAAAAAAGTGTTTCACCATTGGAAATATTTACAACTCAACTAAGTTTTCCTAAAGTAATTTTTATAGAGTAAATAATTCATTTTGTATGTGATTATATGTGATAATCCATATAAGCATGCGTATTTGTAATGCTGCCCGACTGTGATACTGATACAAATAATTTTTTCGTTAATATAACGGTCGGTTGTACCATTTTAATTCTCCATTTAATTTAATTCAATTTCACAATCTTCATTATTTTGTAATTTGTCTGATGAGTAAGTATAATTTGTATTTATATTATATTTATAATTTAATAATAACTTACATGTATATTATTCATTGCGATAGGTACTATATTTATTATCACGCGATTGTTTGGTATTTTGTTAGGGAATCTTCCACTGAACGAAAGAGAAGCCCCAATTATTCGCTAAATGAGAAGCGTTCACTTATAGTAACATTTGCAAAAAATATAAACATATCACGGGGAATAAGAAAACTGATGTGGACTAGTCTACTTTCCACCTATTTTTGTTCGTTCAATAAACTGATACGGGTAGAGCGAAACGGGAACGAAGGTAAAAATAATAAAAAAAAATCGGCACGGGCAACGCGGGACGCGGGACAGCCAGTTATGTATAATAAACATCTGCGATAACAATGCCGGAATAACTAAAAATTACAAAACTTTAAATTCTAGCCAAGGAATTTCGATAAATATAAATACACGTTTAGGAGGACGAAGCAACCCCACGGTTCTCCTTATGACCAAACACACAGACGGAGGGGCCATGTTAACCAAGTACTAATGACTATTGGCTAGACACCAGACCATTTCAAAACCGATTAGGCGCCACTGAAGCGAATTATTGCATTCCGAAAACGAGTATTACCAGCATATGACGAAGCCATAGTATTATAGAAATGTACAAGTGACGTGGTAAAAAATAAAATAAAATTCGTGATTTAAGAAAAGAAAAAAATAAAACACACGTAAAATACGTTATTTAAGAATTCGAAGATGATTACAACGTCACGAGTGTATATAATAAACCACTTAGTGGACTCGGTATACTTGTAAAATAAAATCGATTTTCATGACGTATACAACAGAAAAGGCAGTCACGGTATCATAAACAGGTTGATCAATATAATGCTAATTGTTACAGGAAGTATTGACTTTTTTGAAATTTTTTTAGATTCTGAACGGAGCGAGGAGCGTATTGGTTTTACAACGGTGTTTAATTTTTACTATTTGTGAACAACTTTTCTACTAGCTATTTTACTCCGATTTACAATGAGAGCACTTTTTCTAGAAAGAAATCCGACTGGAGAATTACTTTAAGGAGGTAATTTTTTGGTTTCCCCGGGAGTTTACCCAATAAATGGGGAAAAAAATGAAAACAAACGTAGGAAAAACGGGAAAATAGATACAATATTATTAAAGAAAATATATGAAGTGTATGTAATTATTTTTCCATAATGTGACATGTATATTGTTGACGAAGCAACACTATTAACCGGACTCGTTTCAAAAAATTTTTCAAATTCAAGTACATTTTATAATAGTGATAATTATGAATAAAGTAATGATTTTAACGTTAAAAAGCTTAATCAATGGACGACAATGTATACGAATAACTATGTACGTCTTTTTTTTTTTTATGAAGGGGAAATTTAGAAAACGAGCAGCTAGAAAATCTTGCGTTTCATTTTTGTCACCACTGGTCTGACTGCCAGTGAAACCACAGTCCGCTTTTGTATTTTAAATGGCATCGTATAAAATGTTCTCATCAACAATTATTAAAACTATTTATAGAAATAATTGGAATTAATATTTTTCGTCCAAGCGTTCGTCGGCAGTTCAGTGTCGAGTTTTAATTCATTTTGAAGGATGCATTTTTTTTTTTTTTTCCCCAGAAGCTATTCATTTTACTAACGATGACCAATTTAATACTCGAGTATTTCGAGTTATCACGCGTTACGGGTGTTATTATTAGAATTATAGAGGACACCGTAACCGACAGCCTACCGTCTCGGTCTGACCGGCCACTCGGAAAAATTACGCTGCCTACTGTAAACGGCGGTTGTAACGGTAGACGTACGGCCGTTTACCGCGTGAACCAAAGACGCGCATTCGCCGGTTCCTCGGTTAGCGAGAACTTCGGATTTAGTAACCCTCCGGTACGCGGGGCCGGGGAACCGTTCCCCCGGGGTCCGAACGACCCGCGAGGCGGGACGGGCGCAGCACTCGCCGACCACGGTCCAAACGCCGGGCGCGCGTAAACGTTTCGCTATTGGCCCGACCGCGTCGCGGACCGCCGTCGCCGTGTCAATGCCGCGCCGGGGGACGCGCGTAAAATACACGACGATAACATTGCGCGGCGGTTGCGCGAGGCGAAAACCGTGCAGACAACGCCGTCTGTCCGCGCGCACAATAAACGCGTCGGCGCGCCACACCGGCACCGCCATCGCCTACGGGGCGCCGACGATGTAAATCATCGATTTATTCCCGACTCGTCCGCGCGATATTATTATGGTCGCGCGCCGCCGCCGCGGTGCGATTCGAGGACGACGCGCGGCGGGTGCAGGTGACGTGCGAGAACCCTGTTCCCCGTCTTCCCGTTTTCCGTTTCAGATTCCGGGTGCACGTGTATTGGTTAGGTGCGGGACGATTGTTATTATTATTTTTTTTCTTTTTTTTTTTCTGTCTACCCGCGGACAACGCTCAGAATCGTTTAGTTTATACGTTAAATTCCCTTCTGCGTCCTACCTTCCCAACTCCACGTCTACGACGCTGGCTACGCACCCGTCCCCATTGTTCTAGAACGGCTTTTTTCGTTATTACTCCCCTAACGCGGGAGTACGGAATCACGTTTTTGACCGCCTCCGCTGTGATCGAAACATCTTGTATTTCTCGATTTCATTTCCTATACCCTATTTCCCTGATTTATTGAACTCTCCGGTTCCCCGTTAAAAAATCGAACGGTGTACCCGCGGCTTTGTATAATTACAACGAGGAAAACTCACCTCGCGCGTTCTCCGGACGCCGATAACGGTCCGCGGCTTTTTCCCGCGGGTCTTTTGTGCTATCGTCCGCGTGTCACGAACACAAATCGCGTCTGTAACAAACACACGATAAAAATTATAAACTTACCCGTACCGAAGACAACGTTTTTACCGAGTACAATCCGAAAACGCGGCCGTATTCGCCCGGCATGTGCGCGAACCGCTTTTTCGATTTTCTCGGACCGGAAAAATACGAAAACGTATCGACGCACGCGCGGCCGTCTCGCGCACCACGGTATCGAACGGAAGACGATTCGACGACTTTTCGGCATTTTTTTCGCCTCGTCTATGCGAAACTAGACGGTTTCAGAGAGGAAAACAGATAATAACTCGCGGCCGCCGGGGAAAAATGTTTTCGTAGCGCGCGGCGTCCTCCGACGACGGACCGACGAATCGGAATACCTATACGGCGGCGGTGGCGACGGCGTGCGACATTCATACGGGGCGGCAGAACAGGGACGCGCACACCTGTTGCGCGGACGGCGTTCGCGGGACACTTTTGAATCGCGACGACGCAATACCGCGCCGTCGCCGCGACTTTATCGTTATCGGACGGTACGCGCGAGCGCGAGATACGTTCCGGGAACGTCTTCTTCTGATGATGACGACGGCGACTGCATAACCAGCGGACGCGCGAGTACGCTGGTATCATTATCGTCGTTATCGATATTATTCTAGCGGTCGGATTTGGTTTCGGTTTTGTTTGGCCGTGCGCGCCGTGTGTACGCCGTATTATATACAGTCGTCGTTGTTGTCGTAGTAGTAATGGCAGTAGTAGTAATCGTCGTCGTGGTCGTCGTCGACGCCGTCGCCGTCGTCCTCCTCCTGCTCCTGCTCCGCCGGTCGCCTCCTGCTCCTCCTCCTCCTCCTCCGCCGCCACCGCCGTCGCCGCCGCCGAACCCCGTCCGGCCGGTTCGGTGCGCGCGCCTCAGACGACCGCTCGACGTGGTCACGGAGCGCACACCGATTCCGTCGACAACGACGACGACGACGACGACGCACCGCACAGTCGACCGCGCACACGGTGCGCCGTAGTCGTTCTTCGCGTGCTCGCCTGTCGCCATATTATACGTTTTCGAACGTTTCGCGCCCATTTACAATTACGCCGGGTCCTTTTTCCGACGCGGTCCGTAGCCGAGACTACGGTTTTTCGTACGCGAGTTCCGTCCGCGGATTTCGTATACAGTGCCGAGACGCGGTTTCGATTCATCGTAGTCGTACGTAACGTTATTACAGATTCCGATATTCGTCCCGTAACGTCGTCGCCGCCGCCGAGGACCGGTGTGTGCGCGCGCACTCGGTCACCTACACGTGCGCGTGTTTTCGGGACGGCATTCTAACCGCGTGTACCAATAAAAGTGCGATTCCGCGTACCCAAATGCGCGCACACCGTCGAAACCATCGACGTTTTTAAAAGCCGACAAAACGGCCCATGAAGGTAAGCATTACAGATTCGTCTCCGGACGCTTTGCGCGCGCATAGCAATTGTTCAAACGGGACCGAGGGCGTTTTACGGACGCGGCCGACGCATAGCATTGAGAACGCCGTCGTCTGCAGTGTACGCGGTAAAACGATGTTCGCAGCGTTCGCGAAACGCGTACCGGCGCGACAATTTGGCGCGGGCGGTTCGCGAACGACGCTTTTGTCGGTTTCTCTCCGGGCTGTGCTGTAGTAATATTAGTGAATTCCACTGAAGGCGCCGCGGCCGTTTCGGGCGGTTTTCGGAATAATAGCCGTTATTATAATACCGTTGTTGTTGTTGTTATTATTAGTATTACAATCGCGCGTCTCCGCGGACTGGTTTCCCGGAGCCCCCCCCCCCCTCCCCGACGAAATGCCAAACCATAGGTATCGCGTTGTAGGACGCGGCAGCGTCCGCTCTCGCTTAATTCGCGAAGACTACTGGAAGCGACGACTTCGCGCGTTCGTATTCGCCCGCAGTTTATAAAATATCCGACGTAAATCGGACATCGTGCCTCCCGTTTCTCCCAGCCCCGGCACGCGGGCGCTGGTAACGTCCGCGACGGGCGATCAAAAAGGATTGCGTTTCGAGTGTATCGGGCCCGCGTTCCGGGTACGAAACGTAGCCAATGAGCCGCCGCGGACGGAACCGGTGGCGCGGCCAGTAATTTTCAACGGGGGTGGGAGAGGGAAAATCGTCAACCCGACCGCGGGGAGTCGGTATAATTGAAAAGCCGTAGAAAAAAAAAAAAAAGCCGATTTACAATCGACGCGTCCCAAGCTCGTTCTCGTAACTCGGCCGAAATTATAATACGCGTCTCGATATGAAATCGCTCGTGTTTTTGTCAAGCCAACGATGGTGGGTGATGGAGGAATTGACCCCTAACCGCGCGACTCGGTATCGTTGCGGCCGGAGGCGCACAAACCGCGAGCCGGCGCGGTACGTAACGCGGACGGGTTTACGGCCGACGGAAACCGCCGTCGCCGTCTTCCCCGGGCTCTTCCGACGCGTCCCGTGCGTACGCAAGGGGCGCCCGCGAGATTTGACGGTCGCCGGAGGTCGTCTGTCCGCCGTCGTTTTCGGCCGATCCTACATTGATGTTATTTAAACCTACGGAACGCGCGCGCGTTCAAATACCTGTTTTGGCAGTAAATTTTTGTAACTCGATCTGATGGAGATTTATGACCGTTCTGCCCTGCCCCCGCCGCCGCCACCGCCGCCGCGGCCGGCAAACACTCGGCGGGCGGGCGCGGCGCGTAGGTACGCGTCACGGCCCCGCCGCCCGCCCGTCGACCCCGAAAAACGTACGGACGCGCGCCCGCGACTCGACATCGAATCCGCCGTGTCGTACTATCCCGCGCGCGCGTAACACTCGGCACCGCGGGCCGCCCGTTCGAAAATTCGCGCTGCGGCGATGTCGCGTGAAGCGCTGCCGTTCGCGAACGATAAAATCATTGTTGTCGCGCGGACATCGCACCGACGCCGAACGTGTCGGCACCGGGAGTTACATACTCGAGTCGGGTTTTCGAACGCGAACAGTTTTCGCACCGCGTCCCGTATAGAACTCTCCGCCGTCCGGTCGGTTCGCATGGTATACGCATGGATGTTCGTTCATGCGTTCGCTCGACGCGGTCCGCCCTTTTCTGCAGCCCCGTTTCGCCCCTGTTTGTTCGACGCGTTTTAGCGTGTGTTATTATCATGTATACGTACGGTAATTGTCCGCGCGGTTCACATTCGTAGCGAACTTTTCCTCGAATAATTCTACTTGTTTTTTAGACGATAACGACTCGTCGTGCGTTCTGTGTACGCTGTACTTTAACCGAACGCGCGTTTTATCTCGATTTTTATGTTTAAAATGTAAAAAAAAAATTTCACCTAAAAATCTTACGCCGGTAAAAAAATGTACAGGATACGTTTTTCGATGCATTTCGGTTCGAGTCGGTACTTCTGCGAGGTCGTTTTTTTTTTTTTGAAATCGTCATTACTATTCGAGATGATGAGAAAGAAACTGGTTCTTTAGGTTAAAAAAGATTAAAAGATTAAGGTTGTCATTGGCAACCGTTTGTTTTTTTTTTTTTGTAAACAATCGTCGCGAAAACGCGCATCGTTGAAAAATCGATACTATATTGACCGAGCTCCGTTCAGAATCGTTTTATCGTTAGCCGCGATTAACCGTCAGATATGTGTTAAGTTTTCCCTCTAGCTGCCCCCCGACTTCTCACCTACGCCAGTGGCCCGTCGTCCCACGTGCGAAGCGTGTCCGTTTGTATTTCTCTTGCCGTTTGGTCGGTCTCGCCTCCGATTCAGTCGGGTGACGCCAAGAGACGCTCAACTCTCTGCGGACCGCGAGTTCTCTCTAAGCCTCGGATTTATTATACGCGTGTACCGTTGTCGTGTATTATGTAAACGCGGATAAAACGACGGGAAATAATCGCACGACGATTGTACGCGCACAATGCGTAATGTTATTATTGTTGTACCCCGTCGTCGGTATTGGCATCGGTGCAACAGGTGTCTCACAAATTCGCCGGCGCAGTAGTACCGTACACACGTTGCGGCGGTGCACGCAGAGGGGAGGTTACGGAGTCAGAATCCCTCTCCCGCCGAAAACGAAACCCGCGTGTGCTACTGATACAGTGACATTGTACGCATATAGCCTCCATTCGGTGCGTTCGCGGGTTTTCGCGTGCGACGCCCGATATGGCAGTGCGGTTCGTTTTACCAGTCTCACCTTCTCGATTTTCCGATTTTCTCCAAGAACATCTTTCGTTTCGTTTCAGAGGTGCCCGGTAATATATACTTGTGACGTTCGCGACACCGGTCAATTTGAAAATGCGTCAGGAAGTAAATTTGAATTATTGTTATTCGATAAATTGCAATTTACGTACATTCAAACTTTAACAGAAAATTGCCTATACGCAACCCCTTGAATTCGGTAGGTGTCGCGTTCTCTTAACGCTCGACGATGAACGCTGATATTGTATCCTCGAGTATTTTGTGTCCGTATCAAAACCATTACGCTCTCCTTTAACTAATTTAAATGGGGACATAGGGGAAATGATATAGCACCGCCGTATAAGAGGAAACCGGGAAAACCGCAAATAAAACTGTTTAGATATTCTGACCGATGCATTGGTTTGACCATGATGCGTGCGATTTCTGTAAAAAAATCGTTTACCGAAAATCTTACTCCAATAATTTTCCGTGTGGTTTTTTTATTTATCGGGAAAAACGTCGTGAAAGCGAGAAAGTTTACGGCATTAACGGTTAATATTTGATTTTTTTTTGCTACTCTACAATACGGTATTTCACAGAAATTGTTCAATCGTATATTTACGACGGTTTATATCGTTGCGTGTTACAAATATCGAACACATAACTTTATGCATCCCGACTTCCCGACTTTTCGCTTACAACAATGGCGCACTCGTGTCCGGGAAACGACCGTACGGGTCGCGGAAAATCTCACGCGCGTGAGACACGGACAGAAACTCGTCGCTTTCAATACCCACCGGCCTGTATCCGACACATTTTTGTCATTTTCGCGTTCGCCTTTGTCTGTTCCGACTGCGGCCGGCCATCATCGCACCTAAATATTATAATTGTTCTCCACCGGCCACGTAAATACATCGTCCGCAAACGATGGGCCGCCCAACAAAACTCGGAAGTCGAATCGCGGTCCGATCGAACAATTTATCGGAACTCCTTTCCCGTCGAATATTGTTGATCCTGTATTGACAACCGTATCAACACGCCTAGACGCCGGTAATGCATTTTGCAGGAGTTTTCAGTTATCGAATTCGGATAGAATTATTTGAACTCGCCGGAAAGCTAGGGGGAGTCATCCCACGTGCCACCCATCCCCTTTGTAAAAAGCCCTCGCCCCCCCCCCGTCGTATTGTGATTCGTGGATAATAACAATACGTTTTCCGCGTCCGTCTCCCAGCGCTACTGCGCGGAAAACGCTCGCTCGGTATTTTCAATCCGTTTTCCGACGCCACCGCAAATGCAATAACGATAATACGATACGTTTTTTTTTTTTTTTCTTTATCGAACGCACCTAAAATAATATACACTCGTGTCCGTGTGTGCGCGCGCGTGTATACAAAACAGCGTTATACACCGGGAATCCGTTTCTATATGATACGCGCGTTTACGTCATCGGTACGCGATGCGGCGAATTTTTTGCCCCGCGGCGATTCAAACAATTTTTTCCATAATAATACCGGCGTATAATATTATTATATTGCACACACACACACACACACACACACACGTGCGCGCGCACGCACACACTCGAATAATATCATCGCGCGTTTTTTCGGCGGTACACATGTGTGTGTATACGCGTGCCCGAACGTGTGCGTGCGCGTATCCACCTATATAGGTATTGTATAGTCGGCACCTGGTCACGCACCTGGTCTCCGGCGGGGCTCCGGTGCGTGCGTGAAGCGAGCGGCCGGGCCGGAGCGTGCGCGCGCGTGTGTGTGTGTGTGTGTGTGTATGTGTGCGTTGTATGTGCGTGTCGGCGTGTATGCGCGCGGACGGGCGGGAAAAAGGTCGACCGCATTCCAGGGCCGGATCGCTCCCTCCAAAGCCGCTGCGGAATGTCGTCGGCTCGTGACCCCGCCCCACTTCCACTGCACCCCCGAGACGGCGGCGGCGGCGGCCCCACCCGTTCCTCGGCGCGGCGCGGCGCGCACGCACGCACCCGATTAAGGTACGCGCGCGCGCACACACAAAACATTCTCTGATCAAACAACGCGCGCGCGCGATCGTCCGATATAAACACACCGCGGCGACTGCGACATCGACGGCGACGTAATGTTTCGGCGCACACGTAATAACCGCCGATACGTATTTTATACGCGATACCGGGTCGCACACGCGTTTTCGATTATTATTATTATTATTGTTTTCGGTCGGGGAAAGCGACGACCGGCGACGCGCCCCGCCGCCGTCACTGACGCCGCACGCTGTCGTCCTTTTCCCGCCCCGCGCGCGCGTCTTCGTTCGACGTTGTCGTTATTGACGTCGCCGCCGTCGTCGTCGTCGTCGTTGTTGTTGTTGTTGTTGGCGGCGGCGGCGGCGGCGGCGGCGTCCCCTAACCGCCGGTTACCGATCGCGGCGGAGTAGAGAGGAAAAAAAAAAAAAAACCAAAAAATTTAAGGACCCGCCAATAACGTACCTGTGTGAACCGCCGCGTCGCGGGCGAGCGGGCCGGGAGAGCGCGGGCATTCGAGACGGCATTCCGCGCGGCACACACGCGCGAGCGCGCGCGCACGGGGTGGATAAATCGGAGAACGGTCGCGGGCCGCGCCGCCGTTGTATTAATAATATAATAACAATAATAATAATAATAATAATAATAATGATAATGTATAACTCTGCGTATACGAAAACGTCGAATCACATATTTCGAGCGGCGCGCTCGCCCGAGAACCGGTTCGGTCCGGCGGCGCACGGGAAACATAATACGTTCTTCGCGCGCGCCGCGGTCCGACGGCGACGCGTACGTTACGCGGGCGAGCTCGCGCACACACGCGCACCCGGAGAGGAATAATAATATTTATTTATTATTGTTGTTATTATTTTTTTCCTCCCGACACGGCCGCAGCTCGGTCGCTCGCGTGTTGCTATTACGATTTATTACGATCTAATAATAAATGTATACGCGTGCGTGTTTTTTTCTTTCCACGCCGCCGAACGACCAGATAATCATAACGCGTCCGGGCACCGAGCAAAGATCCGTGTGTGTGTGTGTGTGTGTGTGTGTGTGTGTGTGTGTGGGCGGGGGGGGTAAGGGCCCCGACATTTTTTTTACAACACAAACGCATCGTATTATCATCCGTATCCGTTACCGGTGATTGGAACACGGCGACGTCGGGATCTATGTAGAATTGTAAATTAAAAAACAATAGGAGAAATAATACGGCCGGGCCCCTAAGCCCTAAACGGAAACGTATCGATATAAATACGGATTAAAATTACGGGGAATAAAAAAACAAATACGCCAGTAAATGGCCAAAACGATAGGCTTTCATGTAGGATTATTAATTCTCGTACATGCCTTACAAATGGTTCTAGATTTTTTTGCTTTTTTCGCGCGTAATTATAATACGTATACGCCGATGTCGTATTTACGATCGTGACAACAACAAAATGTTATATAGAGAACTCTCATAAATCAAATATTCGACACCCGCCCACGTTTATAATGCTATAGTGTTTTAGTCTCGTCATTTCATTACACCCGTTCCCGTCGTCAAATAACGTTAAGTGTGTCGATTGCGAAAAAAAATTCTACAAAACAAATCGTTAGAAAAAGTAAAATAATAATAATTGGGTTAAACGACGTGATTTCCTACAATATAATATAATAAAAACATGAGTTGCCAACGACATTATTTTCAAAAAACAAATCGAAAACGACGAGTATCGGAATAAGATTAATAATCGCCAAATATGTTGTAAATAATCATTAAACTCTTATAGCTGTTTCCGTTTAGCTGCTTGTACACGAAATAACGGTAAATTAATGTAAATTTTCAACAAATTTGATTCGATAATATTATAATATTCGGACGTGAAAACCTGTATCCTATATGCGTTTGTAAAATTTAAATTCTATCCGAGTGTCTGTTTGTTTGCACGAAAAACTGCACGCTCGGACGTTTGAAAAACAACAACAAAGTCCATTGACTATCGCGAAATTCAACGCCTCCAAAGACACGGGATAATTTTCAGTACAATCACATTTTTTTTGTCCATTTACGGGTTGCCTTTGCGACACGAATGAAAAGAATAACACGGTTATTGTTATTTAATTTGATTGTCACGGGAGTACTCCTGTTTTCAACGTATTAATTGCCGCGGGCAACTGCGATAAGGGTCGTAGATGAAACTAGACCAGTGGTTTTCAAAATTTTTTTTGACGACTTCCTAATTTAGATCCATGAAAGTTACGACACACTTGAAACAATTAATGAAATTAAAATAACACACACAAAGCTCTCAACATGGTAATCACGACTGAGGACAAATAAACGTTTTGGCGACACACCGGTTGCGAATCATTGAACAAGACTACTTACTTTGATGGGGGGGGGGAGGATACCAACATTTTGACCACGCCGGAAACCCTCGGGGACCAATCCCCTCTACACCGTTCTTACAATAAGTGACTACACGTCATTCCATTTAAAATATTGTACGTTATTAGCAATATTTATCATAGCGTTTATAACTATTTTAATATTATTTTTCATACACACATGGATTGTCTGTAGGAAATCTGCGTTCATTGTTCTGCTCATTAAAATTATGAAATACGCGGATAAAATATTAAATCATTATTATGAAAAGGCTTAATGAGTTTTTCGAGAGGAGTGCTAAAGACTCCCTAGTTGCTCCTGTGATATGGGCGGGAACGGGGAGACGTTAAATTGAATTTCTTTTATCGATTTCTGTTTTTGTTGGAATTTAATCGGATTAAGACGATTTCGAATAAAATAGCAGATAAAAATACATTTTTCAGATAAACGCCTGCAATATTCACGAACCGTCATGTAAATCTGCGTTGTCTATATTTACGCATTACGACCGTGCTCGTAATTGTATATTATACACGTATTACGTATGTATACGTATAATAAAATATCGTAAACGTAAAAATCCTGCAGTGTAAAACGGTGGTTTATTACATATTATAATGTACAATAATTGTCTTCTATGTTTTCTTTGTATACTATTTTATAATGATACGTAAACGAACTCATTACGAGTTAATTGGTTGTTCAAACAGCACGTGTTATCGCGGTGTTTCTTCATTGGCTACCCGTAGTACCTAACCAAATGTAATTCATATCCGTACAAAACGATAAATAATCGCTAACAAAATAGGATTCTGCCCGAAGTTCGGTTAAACTTTAAACGTGTTTTAAACTACAATTACTAACAATACTAACAATTCTCTACTGGACAAATTTAAACGCCTATAAATAATAGCTTAAAAATCACCAAAATGTTTTGGAGATTTTAACATCTCTATAGAATAATGCCAATATGAGTATTTCGACAGGTTTTCTGCGATTATTTTTAACCGAATTAGAACACAAACTTAAAGAGACCATTTGCGTAAATTTTCTACTCTATCTCAGTAAAACTACAATGAAAATTAAAAAAACGACTTCATAATTTATAATAATTTATTTTAAAAAGACGTTACTCTTGAAATTCGGAGCAAGATTTCTGGCAGAAACAATAAAATCGAAAATAATGTAACTTTTATTGCCTTTTATTATTCTGGTTTTCTTATGTTTTTTATATAATATAACTATTAGGAAAACTAAATTTATAACAACATCGTCAATACACCAATTAGATACAAAATATTACAAAAAAAAAGCTCTCTTGTCATTTTTGATCTGACTAAGATTACCGATAAAAAAAAAAATCAAATCACCCTACGCTCAGAATCTAAAAATATCAATATATTATTATTATTTATTTTTTTTTTTTTGAGACGAGAATTGCATTAATTTAAACGAGTAAATATTGGTTCTCGGAGAACGTTACGAAACTCATCGGCAGCGTCCATATAGTATAATATTATACTCAAAGTACTTTACATATACACCCATACTTAAGCACACACACTGTACTCGAAAATCGACATGACATATTATATTATTATAATATTTATGTTAATGTGGCTATAAATATATTCGAAAAAAAAAGATACCAATCTGATATTATGATAATAATTTAAAACGTGGTCGAGTGAAGAGAAAATGTATAATATAATATATGTAGTTTTGACGATCAAAAGGGAAACATTTTAAAGTGGAAACGTATTATTTTACAATATTATAACATGCAGTGGTGGGCACAGCCGAATAGTGAAACCGTCGAACTATTCTATAGTTGAATTCGAACCGTTTGATGAACTGTTAGATACGATAAAACTATTCGGTCGTGGAAAAAATAAATATCCGAAATTATTCCGAATGAAACGTTCGATTGACATTCGAAAGTGTCTTCATAGCATCGTCGCTAATATTATCTGTGACTTGTCAGCGCGGAATAAATGATTAAAAATGTCTACTGTTTTAACAACGATATTTGTTTTCAATTCGTTCATTACGTATTCTGCAGGCCGTTTTCGGATGTTTATTATTTTATTTTTATTCGAACGAATTTCCCGCACAAAAATGCGAAAACTAGTATGTAATTTTTGAACTTTACGCTTTAAAAACCATTTTATTTCGTATATACATCAAAACTTTACAGTAACACACTGACTGGCAGTCCTCAGCTGGAAGTATCTATCCGAAATTCGTTTGCAGACGATTGAAAAGCCGAAAAAGTTCCGTTTACCCAAAGAACGTTTGATTTTCCCAGTGGTGAGAAAGGATCTCGTATAATACGAGTATAGGAATTCTGAGGGAACCGTCGGAACTGCGATTGTATACTGATAGTTTTACTGCCGGCTATGGTTTTAATTTTAAAAATGTCCAGTTCAAAAACGGTAGTATATAATTATATTATAATTTAAACGACGGTCAAATTTTACGAACCGTTCACACGTCTGTATTATGTATGTGTAAAAAATAAAAAAAACCATATTGGATACGTACTACCTACACTATATTATACCTACACAGACGATTTCACGTTTTATAATGGAAAATAGTACAACGCGTCGAAAATGAATTACAAAATAGTATAATATACGTAAAACAAATACTATGGATTATAATTTATACATATGCAATAGAACAATTTTTTTAATTTTTTTTTAATCGTGTTTTTAAACTATACAAAAGAGGGAATTTTTCACGCGAAGTATATATTTATATTATTATTATTATTGTGTTGTGTGAACCAGCAGCAATGCAATTGTATACGCAAACGAACTGGTATATATGCGGTTCTTGTAGGCGTTCGAAACGATTTCGAGCGAAAAAATATTATATTGTATATCTATGTATGCGATATTTATAAAAAAACGCGCAAGAATTCGCAGACAATTTTTCGAATAATATATTATTATTTATAACTACATTTCATAATAATTATTGTGTATACAGGGCAATCCACATAACACAAAACACCGCCATTATCTCGGTAAGCGTTAAATATTCTTCGTAATTTGCCGTTTATAATAATATATACGAAACAAACGGCTCTAAAACGTTACAATGTTAGGTACATTAGCGTTATTATTTTGTCCTTATTCTCGCGGGTGAAACCACGCTGTCCGCTAATGATTTTCCACAAATAGCAACATAAATTAAAAATTTCATAAATATACGAGCTATTGGTTTATATTCGTTTTGGTATTGGAATTTGTGATTTCCGTCAACCCGTTATCGGGATATTTCGCTTTGAAGTTTAGGTAGGAAGAGAGTAAAAGTGGAACGCCTCGTCAATGGGTAGATGAAAATTAAAATCTTTAACTCCAAAATATTATTTTAATTCATCAGCTGTTAATGGAATGTTGAATACGTATAGGTTGCTGTTTGAAAATCAAAAGCGAATAGTAAATTCATCTTATAAAGTATGAGGTTGACAAAAAACACAGTTTAGAGCGTCTATAGTTTATTAAATGTTTTGAAAATTAAATTTCGAAAAAAAGTTAATACTTCCCGAGTTAGTGAGTGCACTGTGACATATCACCTTGTATATGATTGAGAGAGAGAGGGATATAGAGCGTTTATTATTTCTCTTAGCTATTTCCGAGTAGGTTGCTGAAATAAAGTCGATACATTTTCGGCTTCGCTGCAGTTCCCGTACGCAATTTTAAAATCGATGCTTTTTTTTTCCCCCGGCGAAATACAGTCTAGACAGTGAAGTATTTATGTGGGAGGGAGGATATGGAGAATAGATCGCGGCCCTTTTTAAATTGTTTTATTTTGACTTTGTTTAGGTATCCGCGATTGCCGTTTAGAAAGCAGCTTTAATGTGAATAGCAAATATAATATTTACTCGGCGAAATTGTTGATATATCGAATAATAAGTCATGGTCAACGATAGAAACATAATCGATATCAAGCATATCGACATCGGGCAGGGAGATCGATTAATATCATATTATTGTCATAACGCTCCAATAATTATTAATAGCATCGAAAATACCGACGTTATAACGATCTAGAAACGCATGGAATTTGTTTTCAATTTTTTTTGTTTTTAAACGTTCGCAGTCAAATATGTATTATTTCTACTCTCTTCGGAATTCATCGTTGACATTTTAATGGCCCATGGGTGAACATTGTGTGCGTATCATAGAGCTAATAATGGATTAGCTATTTGCTGTTTCGTCACAAAACAGTTGAGATAAAAAAAAGTATACCTAATTATCGTGCGTAAAAAAAAAACTTGAATTTATATTCTTCGAATTGATAAAACGTAAAGTAAAATAGAATGTGTGTTTTATGAAATTACCTTATACGAAAAAATCGAGCGTCTCCAAAAAAATTTAAATCCCATATCCTCCTCTCTCTTCAAGGCTAAGTCAGGAAACGAAAATATCGTTTGGGGTAAACTTTTTTTTGCGGATTAATCGCGGAAAATTCATGCGTAAAATTGAAAATCGCTGTGCGAAAATTCGAGACAACGCATACATGTACAAAGAAGTGTAGGTAGTGTGTATAGGTACGTAATATAATATTGCCAACGATATTATAAGTACAGGTAAGCGAAGAAAAAAGGAATTTAAAATTGCATCGGTTGACTCACGTCACGTGCTGCAGTTTCGAGGTTAATTAATAATGTATTTTCGTGATTTTTTTTTTTTTTTTTTTCAAATATTTTTTCCGCGCCCGTGACCAATAACGCGGTTCGCGTGATGCGTTCGCGTTCCGTGTGCGAATTATTAATTTTCCGAAACCGGTAAACCGGCCGGAGTATAATAATAATAGCAACAGCTAATAGGTGTATATACATCATAACATAATATTATATACTTGTAGTTTTTTTTCGCCAAAGTCCGCGAGAAACGTTCTCGCGTATCGACGATGTGTTTACGAAAAACGCGCACGTCGGCTAATGGTTTTTTTTTTTTTTTAGTATTAAAATCCGCGGTTATAACGACCGGTATGCACGGCGCGAGTACCTATACGTCGCGGGGTACGGGCGCTCGTTTAAAAACCATTACACGCCGTCGCAGTTTAAAACGTTTCTCGTATAGAAGAAGTACATCTCATATCGACGACGAAAGTCGAAAAATTCGCCCGCGTGTATTTATTATGTACGGGGGGGGGAGGGGAGGATTCGAGTCACGGAGTTCTGTAACACAGACTGCTGTGCCCGCGAAAACTGCAGTAATCTATATGATAATTCACTATATTGTTAATCGAAAATATCCGGATGCGGTGATTTTCCGTTTTTGTGCGTACAGTAATAACATCGTGCGCGACACTGACGTATAGGAATTTACAAACCCGGACTAAGACGTTTAGAGGCACCGGTGCCGGACTTCTCAACGAGGCCCTCAAAAAGACCGATAAAAAACAGACGTCGACGATTATATTACCAATCAAAATTTTTAGCTGGAGAAAAACAATAAATAATGTTTCTCAATTCAAATCCATAATTCCACGAGTATTATTCAAATCGATAGAGAAAATATTTGGTTTCTTTTTTTCTTTTTAAGTCACTATATTTTCTACTACATGATAAAAATAAACAGTCATCAAGCGACGAAAAAATATCAAAGTACAAAGTCAATATTTAAATCCATAGATTAAAACTGCCAAAAACTGAGACATATAAAATACGATGACCTGGGGTGCCGTAGCCCTCCCTGAAACTCCCTTAATCCAGGATTGGAAATTTGAACTGGCTCTTATATTTCTACAAAAATTGACCGGTAAGAAAATTCTGAAAAACAGATTTGAATACTTGTCGTCGTTTCCGTAACTCTTATTGTATTCCCTCTATTTTCGTAAAATAATTTGTACAAACAAGTCAATATTGCTTACAGGTAAGCTGTTGTAGGTGGATAGTTGGGGAGGTATAGAGTATAGAGGGCACTTTAGTTGGTATACTTTATGCAAGGCAAAATCATTGGAAACCAAAACATTTTCAGAAAGGAGTAGTATATTGGTTGTATTTTTTTTTTCCTCGTTTGCCAAGGGAACACACAGAAATCAACAAAAAAAAGGCCTACGTGGTTAACTATTAAAAATGTTGATAAATGTTTCAAATAAAATAACAACGAGCAAATGTTCCGCCTATTTTTTAAGGTAGGACATGAAAAAATCAAAGAATAAAAAAATACTATTCGAAAATATATTATTTGCCTAGAAAAAAAACCGCACACAGTTTTATAGTTAAACTGATCCGCTCGGATATATATATATATATACGCTCGGAATCTAATAGTAAAAAAAAAATACGATTTTCGGAGAACTTAAAAAAATCGTATAAAATTACAATATTTCAGTATAGCTTTCTCGTTGGGACTGTCGTCACCAATACCGTAATATTCATCCCGCCAAAGCGCACGGTTTTCGTTTGGAATCTCGTCTAAACGACCTATAGACAAAAAAATCCATTTGAACGGTAAAAAACGTACAAAAATATACGCGTAATATAATATCGGTACGGATGTATTATACGAGTGTATCGAAAAATACCGTATACGGTTCGAACGAAACATTTTTTCGAAGGAAAAAACCCTATAATCGTTTCAAAACGAAAATCGATCCGGCAATCGTAATCCGATATAGGTATACAAATAACAATCTGAAAACACGAAGAATTCGACTATGATAATAAACAAGACGTACCGCTAATCGCAAATGACTACAGACCACAATATCCGAGTATATTTGGCGTCGGATTACTTATAGTAACTATTACTTCGGATACATTCTTGCGGACGAATACGATTGAAAAAAAAAAAAGAAAGAGTCGTCGTCGTGGAGTGTGTATTGCATAGTATAAAATAGTCACGAGAAACAATAATGCCGTATCGAAATCCGAATGATACCTGCATTTCCGATGGCGCGGGTACGAATTACGCAACTAGACGCGTATTGAAAGCGTCGAATACGAAATCGGGGTGGCCTCCAGAAAAAGCTAAACAGTTCCGAACAATCCGAGGAACCCGCGGCCGCTTAATCTCCCCCTCACATCTCGTTATAATTATTACGTAGACGCGTTAGTTAAAATGGGATAAACATCGAAGGGAACTATATTTACTGAAAATTGAGGGGCTTTCCTGCGAAAACGAACTAAACCTAACCAAACTTTCAGGTTTTCCGTGGTGCAGAAAAGACTTCTAAAATGATTTTCTTTTATACGCATTAAATGTGAAATGAACAAATTTCGTTCATAATAATGTTACGCTAATTGAGTTTGAAAATAATGTGCAACTCCCTCCTCCCCCCTCAACTATTATCCTACGCGTATGCCTGCTCGGTAAAAATAAAGTAAAACAGAGTCTGCTGATTACGTATAATCGAATAGGTAGTTGAAGCGTGCCCCCCCCCACTGGACTTTAAAGATTCAAACTATAAGGTACCGATAGTTTTAATGAAAATAAGAAGGGGCTTCGTCTCCCTCCTCCCCCCCTAATTTGACCACTGCGTGGACGTCGATCCCCGAACGACAATCGAGTATTGCAGTAAAACGTGAAAAAACATTTAAATACGTTTTATCGCTCGTGCTTCGGGCGGTCGCAAAGTATCGTTTCGTCCACTCGCCCGCTATAATCGCGCGGACGCGCATATTTGACAAAAATCTAAAAAAACATTTATACATATAAATATATATGTAGCTGGTATTTATAGTATACGAAAAATACCTATGAGCGCGCCGCTCGCGAGTGTATCGGTTAAACGATGGAATTTGTGAAATGTCGGCGTTTTACTTTCTCCCAAAGTATGTTAACTCCGAGAGCGCGCGCGCATGATTAGTATTCAGACACTTCCTGGACACAATAAAAAAAAAATAATAATAATAATAAAACGTGACAATGGGTTATTAATAAATCCGATCGACGACGACGAGAAGATTATTATTATCATAAAATATTTTTTATTTTTTTTTTACTAGTCGATCGGTTACGCGCGGTATACCTGTATAAACATCATGCAGCTACACTGCTGCTGCCGCTGCACCGGGCCCCTGCACGAAAAGCGGTGTAAGGTCGCCCGAGTATAATATGTACGCTTATAACCGAGTATAATAATATTGTATTATGAAGTTTTTTTTTTTGAAGTCGCGCGTGTGTGCGTATGTGTGTGTGTATGTAAAGATGGCATGCCCGGAATACTTATAATGATAATTTATTGTTGTCGGTCAGCGGTTAGCCGGCTCTCGTACATATTATGTATACGTACTATATACACGTATATATTATTATATTATACTAAGACGACGATAATATATTATATACCTAGGTATAATACTGCCGCGTATAGTCGCACCGCGGTATCGCTGTACCCCGGGTACCATACGCGCGGCATATTACCAGTCTTTTCGGGTTTTTCGACTCGGGCACTCGCGCGCCTCGTTGCATCATCGCCTCTCGGGGATAGGAAAAAAAAAATCACTTCTATATACGTACACACGTGCGTTTGTGTGTGTGTGTGTGTGCGTGTGTGTGCGTGTGTGCGTGCGTACCGAGAGTCGTATAACACGAGTGTATAAGTAGCCGAGTGTTGTTATTATATTATACCTATGGGTGTATAACGGAGAGAAATAAAAATATTCTTCTTATATATATAATATTATAATATCGATATTATACACGCGTATACACGTAAACGTAAAGCCACGACAAATATTATAATATTGTATTATATACTCGTATACGTATTATTATCCCTGTGTGTGTGTGTGTGTGTGTGTGTGTGTGTGTGTGTGTTGCAACAATGGCGTACACACTGTACAAAATATTATCCCGATTTCGAGTGGGTGCGGTATACATAAGTGTGCGGCCCGTATAATATACGTGTATATTTTGGTGTAAGCACGCGCGTTTTCTGGCGGGAATTATTTTTTTTTTTCTTCTGCACCCGTCTCGTCGTACGTATTAAATTATAATATTATCGTACACGCTACCGGCTACCGGTTAATAATAATACTATAATATATTGTAACGGCGACCCGTCGAAAAACGGTTACGGGGATCGGACGAAATCGTGATTGAACCTTATAATTTTTTTTTTTTTTTCTCTCCGTAGAAAATGTTAAACACACCCAATCGCGTTGAGGCGGGACGTTAGTTTGACGTTTCCGGAAGCGGTAATCGGAAATACGTTTTAATATCGGATACAATATTTACGCGTGCATTTTCGCAGTTTTGATGAAATACGGTATTCCTATAATATTATAATCACAATCACAAAGTATAAATAACCCGACCGTGCCTATCATTTTATTTATTCTCGATCGTTCAACTATGTACCTGCAATAGTCGATTTAGCCGCGATTATAAAATATCAAAAGTCAATTCGAACCCAACGTAATAATATATTGATCGTATATCCGTGTATGGACACCGTTAATCGAATTGAGACGCAATATCGGAACATGTCTAAAACGAATCTGCAAGCCCGATCGGAGGTTTGCATCGGCGGCTCGGTTCGAGTACACGGATAGGGAACGTAAATGCGGTTTTAGCAACGGTTCTCGTTGGTACCTCGACTAAAATTGTCACAACATAAACAGGAGAACTTTGACCGTACAATCTCGTTTTGATTTCTACGATATCGGAAGTACGAATAAATGAATTTAAATTTGAAAAAAAAAAAAAACGGATTTTAAAACAGCTATAACTTTTTACGTGTTAGCGATATCGAACAAATCAAAAAGGTTGTCGCTCAGTAACAGTGTTCGTCTTACGGTTTCTTGGCCATAGCACTACAGTCCGCAAAGATCTTCACGCGGTACGCGAGCGTTATTATAATACATATAATATGCTCGCGTATACATAATGATATATGTAAGTCTCCCGGCGTCGTTATGATAATAATAATAATAATAATAATAATAAGTCGAAAATAATATGATAGAAAAAAAAAAAAACCACGCGTTCTTCGATCGACGACCGGATACGACTATATTATACGACTCGGACGACGTTATAAGATAGGAGGTGTATATACGCATACATATATATATTATTATTGTTGTATACAAACTTTGTCGTCGTGTGGATATCTAACCCGCAGCAGTTTTTGTATTTGTATATAGGTAGGTATGTTCTGTAAATACGTTGTCGTTGGCGGCGACTACTCGGCGGAGTTGTCTAGTCGATACTTTTTTTTTTTGTTTTACATTATATACGCCGCCGCCGTAAAGAATAATATTATAGACGGCGAAAAAAAAAAAATCTCAAATCAAAGATTTTCGTCCGCATACGAGTATAATATAATAACAGTGTGATGGGGGGATGGGGGGGGGGTGAAACGTCGTTTTCGGTATTTTAATAACGGCTATTATATACGAGTAGTAATATATAATATACCTACGAACGCGCGCGCATTTCATTTCCACATAATTGGTCAATAATAATAATAATAATAATATAATCCTTATAGTTACACATATTATACCATACTATAGGCAGTCTAAGTATAATAATATATTCATGTACAGGACGATCGACATGACACGACGTATTATCTCGGAGAGTGTTCATATTTGTTTTTTTTTTTTTTTCAAATAATAATAACAGCTCTAAAACGTTATTTTCGCCGACGAAACCGCTACCCGCTTTTGAAGTTCAAACGGCAATCCGTATGCGTATTAAAAACTCCCAAAGTGTTTCAGTACAAATCGATTTCGGCGTCGACGTTATGAAGTTCCCGTCGCCGACGAGACAGGATGGATTTTCAAGTAAAAAAACCGTGGCGTATTCGAGAGGGTAGGGGATCGATTGTTTCCCTCCGTCAATTAATTTGTGTAGGTATTTGCTATATATATATATATATATATACAAATTTAATATTGCTAGAAAAGTGTCATCTGACACAAGAATAAAAACACTTCACGGTAAGATAAATAGGGTAGAATATGAGCTTGTGTATACTAATATTTTCGTGTCGCTCCTCCCTCCCATAAAACCAAGTCAAATACGCCACTGGTAAAAAAGCAGAACGTCTCGTCGACTCTGTTTACGGGGGAATTTTCGAAAAATTAGCCATTCAAATATTAAATATAGCTATTTGAAAAGCGAAAGCAAACGAGCGGGTATTAAGTCGGCGAAAATTATCGGAATTTAGAGCCGCCAATGTTGTTTGTCTAAAAACGGGAGAAAAAAGAGCGCGCGTCTTTCGTCATGCCGTACACAGCCCGTATAAATACAGTCGCAGTGACTGTACACAATAGCAGTCGGTCATAATAATAATAATAATATTGTAACCGTCGGTAAATTGGTCAAAACTCGAACTCCGCGCGTGTAATATTTACAAGTATATGATTTTTCATCGCGCGCGCATAATAATATTATACACATTATAAAATACGACGTCCACAGATGCAGTTTGTAACGATATTTTATACGCATATGGGTTTACTTTCGTTTTTTATTATCATTATTCGCAGCCCGCGCTTATTTGCAGGTATTCAATAACGATGGTAATTATTATGATTTTGTTACAGGTGTTTAAACTTTTAAACCATATTACATATATATATGTATGTATGTGATATATTCGTAATAACCGTACGGAAAATGTCGAAAAATTTATTTCGACATTTTTCAATATTGCACGTTTATACACATATATATATATATATTTATACAATATTATAATTATATATTGTATACTCGAATATTGTTTGTTTTTGTTTTGTTTTTTTATTTTATTTTATTATTATTATTTTTTTTTTTTTTATGCTTTTGGTGTTTACTGTATACACAGCAACAGCAATAATAATAATAATAATAATAACAACACGAAGAGAATAATATAATATTCAACCGGTGGTTACGTACAGTGCAGTGTTGACGATCGACGGCGACAGCGCGTGCATAACAAATACGTGTTATAATCGTCGGCCCGCTCGCGTATTACCGAAACGAAAAAGTTTTACCCGAGAAATAATATTTTCGTATTTTCAACGTAGATACGAAATTTGTTTTCTTTCGGTACCGAGCGTACTGAACACGAGTGTTTTACAATGATGTTTATTTTTTTTTATTTACGCTGTGTTCAAAATTTCTACCTAAAATTTTGTTCCGATTTTCAAGTATAGTGTTTTTTCCGAAAGGAAATTTTTTTTTAGTCAGTACATTAGAGTGGTCGGTTTTTGACATTCCAAGTGGCTTTCATAATAATTGGGAAATAATGGAACGTTTACGAAAATAACGCTTTTATTGTTTTAAATTTTTATTCAGTTAAAAATGTTCATATAGACTAGAAATTTGGACAGACTACTTATATTTGCCTTTTCTAAACCGTGGTCCTTGTTATTAACTTATTATTTCTTTCGGGGAACGATACCATAGAGCCATGATAACTATATCATTACAAAAAATGATAAGCTTTAATGAAAAGACGGCCATGGGTATGGTACTGCAGGTCTGCAGTTGTTATGTTTACGTTTATGCTAGCAGTTCTCATTAATATTCAAATTTTCTTTTCAATATCTATAAAACAAATTTCTTAAGATGTTAATAACTGTATTATTTCCCTGAGACTCTTTTTTCTTCCGTTGGTACTTAATTTCCGTCGGGGTTTTTTTTCCTTATGTGGCTTTTGACCAAGGGCTTTTTTTTCCTGGGCTTTATTATCCTCAGTATCCTAATAATAGTTATCAAAGCGGGTATAGAAATCAACTATTTGAGTTTTAAGCAAGCGGAAACGATCGGAAAATTTTTAACTGTCGATCTATTTATAGTCTGTAACACTGCCGTTTATAGACATATGCTTATAAAACTAATAATCTATAAGTATGATTAAAGTTCGAATTTCGCCCCTCCCCCTGGAATATGAGCTGAATACGCCCCTGGTTATTAGCAATGATTAATCGTTACGTACAGATATACATTAAATTCCTCTCTATATCCCATCTTCCCAACTTCTCACCTGTAACCATTTTTGTTTTATTAAACCACCCAAAAGTTTTTAATATAATGATCAAAGATCTTTAACAGTACATTTAAAAAATGTACATGAATACGTGTGGTGTATTAACGTATATATGTATAAAACATATGTGGAGTCTTACTTCCAGTGGAATGGCCCCGGCCGTAGTCTATGAATCCTATTCTAAGTCATATGGTCTTCGGTGTTTGAGACATCTAACGACTTGAGAGTTGTCAAGTAGTTGAATTACTGCTGGAGTGGTGCGCTTCTAGCCTTTTCTCGTGTTTACGGGCAAAACTCGGTAATCTCGTCAGGACGAAGGTCCTATCGTCATAATATCTCGGTGGATAATTAATTTCTGTCATACCGGTAAGCTGCGACTATGAAACGGAGAACAATGTTCTGAAAGAGTTGAATAATCTCAATATTGGACTTGCTAGCACACTTTCACAGTTTTATTTTACAAGTCCATATTGGCTTAGTTATCACTATAGACATTTGTCTGTAAGGTCAAGTTCGGAATGTCTGCCGACCAGCCAATATAGTTGTCGCGTTTTCTTATTAATTTGCGATATTTTCTTGCGAACATGGTGTGTTTCTAGTTGAGTCGAGAGTGAATGTATATTTCTAGATATTTCGCCGAGTCATTCTCGATGATCCTGAAGTAATATTGATTTATTAGACGGTTTTACGCAAGGTGTAGGCCCAAATTTAGTCCAGTTAATTTAGTGTTACGCGTAGTGCACCGCGAGAAGGTGAACTGGCTTACACTCCAAAAACATTTGGTTATTTTATCATCTATATTACCGATTACATCCATAGTTGAGTGTTATAGATACAGAATACATAGCATTTAAAGTACTTATTATAATATTTAAATTTGTTTGTACATTGAAACATTATAATTCTTAACATTTTTTTAAAAATTGCGGCGCAATTACTATATGTTCCGGTAAAAATTACGGCATTATATTCGCTCACTAGCATTTATTAACTATACGATTACTGACCGTACTCCACCATAGTCTTACTGAGTTCTATTATCGAAGTTGAAATAAAATGTCGTTTCCCCGCTGATCGGATTACCGATTATTATTAAGTATATCGGTTTTTAAATAGGTATAAATAGGTACCAGGCTATAGCTATAGAGATGGCTAAGTTAATATAGCAGTGATTACTACTTATTCATGATCGCATATTAAGTACCAGTGAAAATACTTGCTACTAGTGAGTAGCGGTGAAAATAACAGTGACGGTGATAATGTGTATACGGTTGTTTGGTCACAGCCAGTAGCAGTAAAAGTAACAGTTATTAAAAGCATAGCAGTCATTGCTATTTAGAGTAGCAGTTTATAACAATTGTTACCTATTTATGTCAACTGTGAAAAATCACTGACATTGCCGTATCAAATACCATTACTACAGTAGCTGTATCGAAACAACCGCGGATGTACTCCAGCGCTTTGAAAAAGGTAAAAATGAAAAACGTGTCGCACTCGGAATGGCTGCGGGTGATTGCGGCCCAGCGTGTTATTTTTAACGTCGAGACCGGTGAATTCCGGCCCGGTAAATCTAGTAAACCTAAGGTTAGTTACGGCCCGACAAACTCTTTTTATCTAGAAACTTTATCGCTGATATACATAATTATTTATAAAAAAAAAAAAACATACCGCGTCAAAATTGGTATTTAATTTAAATTATAACAACGAACGATAAACAATACTAAACGTGTCGTTCTACATTAGCCATCAGCCTAACGCAAAAGCATCTATAACTTTGTTGATATGTTTCATGAAATTCAGAAATAACGGATTAAAAACGCGCTAACAAGAAGCTTTTTCCTGGGTAACATTAATAAGCATTAATAAGCAATAGGTTGATATGAAGTGCAGTTGGCCTCTCTCACGAACCCAGGTCGAAATTCGTGGCTATAGCACATTCGGCTTCCGTTTTTCCAAAACAGCTCCCGTTTTACAAAAAAGGTCAATTCCCAAACAGTTCCCGTCGCACTAATACGCCAATCTCAAACGGCCGTGGCACTCGTTTTCGGCAACACAAATATCTTTCCACTTCATGCAGATTTAGGACTGTCTCAAAAGAACTATGGTTAAAAATGCGTTGTTGTTTTCAAGTGCAAATTTTTTTTGAAATTCCATTAAAAACTATATGCTTGTTGAATCATTTCCGTATTGGAGATCAGGCAGTCGAAGGTTTTGAGGCACACTTTTTTTTATACATTCCTTTCGAGTTTTTCATTAGATAAAAATTCGTCAATGATGGCCCCAACGAACCCTTGTTTTTTATTATTTTTTTTTTTTTTTTGGATTTATCACCAGGAGAATTTGCACGACTCCGAGCTTTTGTTTGTGTCTCGGATTTTAGTTTCGGCCGGTATATTATATCACCTACCCGTGAAACATTTCTCTACGGGAGCCGTTTTGGGTGCGTTACGTTTCGGGTTACACCGCAATAGTCGTTTACTCGCACGCGATTCGGGGATCGGGCCACAATTCACCGACACCGCTCGGAATATCTCCGAACGAAAACGCGTATAATATTTTTGTTGTTGTTGTTGTTGTTTGTTCGACGTGTTACAAGTTTACAACGTCATTACGTATAGGTGGCCGCGGCTCGCGCGCTCGTTAAATACAAAATATAATCGCCGCGGCCGAAGCAGAGAGGAGAAATAATATTTACCGAAAGAAATGTGTACAAAATATACGAGCAGCGCCCTTCTATGTATAGGTGCTATGGCGTACCCATATTATTATTATAAAACTCGTGCGTAGGTACCTCCACGCACATATATATATTTACGTTTTGTCGGGCGTACGACGCGATCGAAACGTTATTAACAAACGTGCAGTGGGTATACGATAATAATAATATTATACTATAAAATACACGGCTAGGTAGGTTAGAGGTACCTACCCGGCAACGATAGTAACATTATAACGTAATGGTCGCGGCAGCGGCGACGGCGGCGGTTTGTGTGGAATTTCGAAAACGGCGTCCGAGTATTATATTATAACCTATAACCGCGTTATATACACACGGGTATATAATAATATAATATTGTCGGTATCTGGTATGCGGTAAGGTAACGAACCAAACGAACGAGCAAATAATATATCGCAATTATTGTTGCTGCGGCGGTACAGTATATATATATACGCATGTATAATATTATAATAGGGAACAGTAATTAACATATTATTATTATTATTATTATTGTACGATACGACTATATTATAGTATACAATAATATACTCTCGTATATTTTCGAACATAATTCACGACGCTCGTTTCGGGGCTATAGCCTAGCCAGTACAGCTAGCTAGTTAGCTGCCGCTGCGGAGGAAACGCTGCACGTTCGAAAATTCCAACCGGTCGTTCATCCACGAGAAACTGGGCACGTTACATATATATATATATATATAGCGTCGTTTAGTCATATAGATAATAATAATATAAAGAAATGGACGGGCATGTGATAATATTATATTATGGTGTGTGTGTGTGTGTGTGTGTGTGTGTGTGTGTGTGTGTCCGGAGAGAGAGCTCGCAACACGTATAACATAACATAATAGCTATGTTCGTTAAAAAAAAAAAAAAAAAATTACGAGGGCTAATCAAAAAATATCGAGACTGATAATATTACTCGGAAACCGAGCGTTGAAGAGCAAAATGATTGGTAACCTTAGCTTCTATGACTTATACTGAGCGCATTTATTTTCGTAGAACTTCTATAAACTTCTTCGTTTTGGTTCGACGATATTTTTTTTCTTTAAATTTATTTTTCACGTTTGGCGATTTTGCAATGAATCCAAAAGAAGCGAAACTTCTGCTACTCAACGGCACATTTGCAGTTTTTCAATTGAAATTTATTGGCGTGAACCATGAAATGTTGTATCTCTCTAAAACTGAAAAAAAAATGCAGTCATGTTTTCTAAAATCTCCAAGGTTAGGTTAGGTCAAGTCTCTCTTTTTTTTGGATTCGTTACAAAATCGCCAAACTCGAAAAATATATTCTACATAAATATTGGTGAAATAAAATCGTAGAAGTTTATTGAGAATCAATAAAAACAAATGTACTCAGAAAAAGTCATAGATTCAAGTGATACTACTACTAGTCTTGATACTTTTTGATTAGCCCTCGTATACCTTTTTGATTTAGAATATGAGTACGGACAGTATTCCATAGTTATTTCGTATAAAAAACCTCGCGATTAGAAAATCTGTCGATATTCTCGCGAGCTTCTGTCCAATCAAATTCAGCGAAAACTAATTTCCATGTTCCTGCGTGCCATATTACCAGGTCTTCATTGTTCCCTTCCACGTACCTCACATTCAGAGCCTGATTTAGAATTTTTTAGGCCGGGACAAAAAGAAAAAGTTGGCCTATTTTTAATCCATTTAATACTAATATTTCTTATGTCATACCCATATATTTTGTATGAAACTGAAAAAAATAATTTATATTTTTACAAGTGTTTTCGACTGTGTAAACTTTTTTTGGTATTCTTCAATTTTAAGAATTAATTCAAATTAAGAGAATAATTAAATCCAGTAGGTGGGCCCCTGGTTTGCATGGGCCCTGGACAAATACCCACAATGTCCTTGCGTAAATAGGGCCCTGCTCATATTTCTTCATTAACTTCATTTTTATGGTTCGCCTCCCTCGTTCAGGAGGTAACCTTGACCCCGTTTTTACTCTACATTACCTATTTATGATTATTTTCATTTTGTTATTTACTGTACAATGTATAGAATATACTATTATCTAACGATCTGCAGTAATTGGGCTTGGTCCGTAATTTTTAAAAATAAATAAATGCCAGACTGCGTAGCAGCAAATTTAAACAATCTAAAACAACAAATTATCATGTTCCATCAACTTCTCATTATCAACAACGATGCTAAACGGCCCAATGTAACTTACGGAATAAACAATAGACCAATTGATTTCTATATCACAGACAAAACAATTCACTACTGCAACCATGTCGTACTCTCTGTCAGAAGCCTACACTTGCGACCGGAGTACTTCTGTACATAAAACAACGTAATGCAGTTTAATTTAACACCTCTAAGATAATATGTTATATCTGTGTAAAAATATATATATAATTCTTGTTAAAACGAACAAAGCTGACGCATAATATAATAGTAGATTGCTCGCTATCGTAATATGCCACCTACATATTATATTCATAAATCAATTTCCCGTTATTTTTACGGAGATTCGAATCTTATCACTCTTATGACCATAATTGCTACACAGATTACGGGCAAATACGTCTTCAGCTATAGTGTGTCACTAGTTAGCTTATATATTTTAATAATTTTAGGTATATCTGTATTCTGTAGCTCGCAACAATTATAGGAGTAATATAGTTTTCAATACAGCCTCGTGTTAAATTTTCTATAACATTTTTGTTTAGCCAAACAATTTTATCAACATAAAATCCAATAAAAACTAAAAGAAGCTCAACATTTAAACATATTTTGAACAATTTAGTACGTCTAGAAAATGCTTAATTTAAAATTTTATCCTGGCATCCATAAACTAAGAAATAAAATTATCAGGTATCAAAAATCAGGCATATATAGTTTATTGCCAAGCTTCAGATTTACTCATAGAGTGTTATTGAGTCGTTTTACATATGTGTATGCCTGTCAAATCATAGGTATAATAACCATAGCTAACCATTATGGTAACAACCATAGTCGTTTTACGTTCATCCTTCCGAATTGTCTATAATATGCATTATAAATTAATATTTTAACAGTATAATATTTGCGTATATTTGGTATAATTATTGAGCCCGGATCAAAAAAATAAAAGCTGATGTTGCTGATGGGTATGTCACTGTTATGGGTGAGAAGTTGGAATGCAAAAATGCATAAAAGTTATTAAATTTTTATCTATAATCTATATGCAAACCATTACTGACGAAATACGATTCTGAGCGAAGTTCAGTTAAATATGTTTTGAAATGCTATATTTTCAAGATCAGTCAAATAATTTTATCCACATAAAACCAAACAAAACTTAAATTGCCAGAATTTACTTCAATTAGAAAGTGCTAATATAATTATTCTGTGAAATATCAGGTCCCTAAGGGTTATTTTTAACTAAGCAAAAAAATAAAAACCAAAACAAAAAAAGATCGAAAATTATAAAACCATTATTACCGTACAAATGTGCGGTAGTAAACCCCGTTTCTCAATTTGCCATTTTTTCCTGTTTTCCCTAATTATTCGGAAAACTACACGGAAAATTCATTAAACAACATTTTTTAAGTGCTATAAACAAACTATCTTGTTGTTTTTTATAAGCAAAAATTTCGATAGAAAAATTGTACTCTGATAGAGAAAAAAAATCGGTACACGTCAT